TCGCTGCAGCTCAAGAGATGAAGGGACGTGGATCACTTTGGCTCCTCAGCAAAAGCCCAGCCTGGCAGAGCCTCGCGTGGTCAGCATGGCTGCAGTTGGCTTGTGCCTCGCACACAAGGGACACTCGTCAGGGTCACCCTGCCCATGGGTGACGGTCCCTGGGGACCCGTCACCTGCGAGACAGCACAGCACAGCACCCCAGGCTGGGATTCAGCACCTGAGCCCCTCTGCAGAGCCCAGGCAGGGCCAGACGCCTCCTGCGGAGGTGGGAGGGGGGCACCCGACTCCCTGGTGCCCCGGTGCGGAGCGCGGCAGAGGCATGGGACAAGCCAGACCGGGGCCGGCACAGACCCAGCTCACCTGAGTGGCAGCAGAGCTGAGACACGGTCCTCTTGCCTCCATCCTCACACTCCAGCGGCACGATACCCAGCACACCTGCAGGAGAGGACACCGGAGCAGGTCACGAGCTTGCCCATTGCCCACACGATGCTCCCAGGACTCCCCCCAGCTGGGACATGGATTGGGATGGGGCACCCAGCTTCGCAATGCAAGCCAAGAGGTCTGGGACTGTCAGCACCTTTGGGGCAACTCGGGGAAAGGCTCCTCCACTCGCCCTCATGCCTCCTGGGGTCCGTGGGGCTGACCCGGCAACCCATGGGGCAAATCCATCCCACCCCCAGCCGCGCTTGGCACACCTTCCCTTGTGCCTCACCTGCTGCCTCGGCATTGAACGCGATCCAGCGGCAGCTGGCTTTCACGTGGCTCCCGCAGGATGGGAAGGAGCCAGCCCGGATACCCCCGATCCAGGCCTGGGATGGAGAAGGAAAAGCCATGTCAAGAGATGCCCCTGTTTCGGAGGAGCCCCACGCCATAGCCGGATGATGGCTGGAGGGGAGGCTGCGAAGCATCGGCACGGCAATGCCAGAGACCCTCAGCCCCAACGGAGCTCCCACACCCATGGACCTGGCACTACCTGGAGGCTGCCGATGCCAACGGAGTCGTGCCGCAGGCACTTTCCAGGACCCCGTTCTCTGGGAGGGCCAGGGCAACGTGGCTGCCATGCTCCCTGCACAATAGCACAGCCCCTTGCTGGGATGCGGGCAGCTTTGGGGCCAGCTTTGCCAGGAATGGGAAACAGGAGCATCCCGACTCCCAGCACTGCCTCTCCCTGAAACCGCCCCCGCCCTGGGCTCTCCCACGGTGGGAAGGGCTCAGAGGACTTTGCGATAAACTGATGCTGGGAAATTTGGGATGGGGCAAAGGCTCTTGGGCTGTGAAGCACCGCAAGGTCAGGCCGTGGCTACCTCCGGTAGCGTGCTTCCTGCACGGACAAGGAACTTCATTACAGCTCCAAACCCAAAATCCCGCTTTGCAGTGTTTCTTACTGCTACTCCACGGCTGAGCACCGCGTCTGTGGGGCACCGTCACGCCCTGCATCAGCCGGACCCGCTCCAGGTGACACAGACACCCGGCCTCAAGTGGCCACCAGGACCAGGAGCTCCCCGGCACACCCAGGGCCAAGTTCAACCCTCGAAGGCGGGGGTTTTATGGCTGCCACCATGCCACAGGCATGGCAGAGAGCTGCGGCAGGCGGCCGGAGCGGTGGATGCCCTGCAAGCAGGGCAAGGGCAGAGCCCTTTGCAGGGAAGGGAGCTGCGTGCACAGCCCCAAAAGGACTGAGCCCCGTGTTTCCTCTCCTTGCACGGCTTCCTTTTGAGGCCTGACAGAGCGCAGCAGCTCCTGCAGCACTTCCTCCGGTCCTTGTCACAGCAGCCCGCTCGTGGGAA